TATATAGACACAGGGTCTCTAAAACGTTGTGTGGGAAAAATGGTGGGGATCAGTTATGGACAAATAACATAATCCCTATGAAAATGTTAGTATAGTCTTATCGCAAGTCGAAATAAACAGGCCAACAATATTCGTTGCATTTTGAATTACGGAACTAACCTATTATTCATTGATTTTTGGTATATTTTGACTTAAAATCAATTATAATAATATGTATATTATATACATTGTTATCTGTTGACCGCGTATTATAATTTTTTTTTTTGTTGGTCTTTTTCACATTTATATTTTAATGCATTTTGAGTCAAAAACATCAAAGCTCTATCCTAGATCAGCGTACTACTATTATTTTTAAGGGGAATGGACGTCCCGCATCATAATTCTCACCTATGTCTTATATTAACTTGTATTTTTTTTTTTAATTGCTTATTTATAAATATTTGTTATATGATATAAAAGGGGTGGCTCAATAACGTTTAACAATTGATAGGGATGCTCTTTTTTAAAAAATAAACAGTACTTTAAACCCTAATTTTATTTTTCCAAGTCGAGTACTGTATACAGAAATCAATCCAGGTGTATAATTAATAATAATCATATTAAAATAAATTATATCAGTGGCGATGCGAACTTCATTAAGTTATGAGGTACAATAATTTATATAAGTTATATAAGTAATAAATTATAAATACTTATTTAAGTAATAACATATTTACGTAAATGTTAACATAGAAAGATTGGCTTAGTCTTAAGCCCGCCGCACACGACGCTTTTTTTGTTGCTAGTTCCTGTACGGGGAGCTGTGATGGCAACATTGCTGGTTTCGGTGATTGAAAATGACGTCACTGCTGGCTCCGTTGCGTGAACGCGGGCTGGATTTCGGTGATAGATCATGTGCTATTTTCTGTGCGTGATAGTTTGAAAAATGTATGCAGTAACCAATCAGAAAATAGAATCTTGTCACGTGGGCCCACAAGGCCACAGCAGCGTTTTCTATAATGTCGAGGTGATATCAAGTTTTACTGATAAGTGATAATATATTAAATATTAATATAATAATACTTTTTACATAATACCTTAAAAGTTAAAACTGATGTCTACTGTCTAGTGTCTAATGTCTACCAGTCTACCGTCTAGTAGGACTATCTGCAGTATTGGCGGCCATAATACAATAATTTTATATCGTTTGAATTTACAAGTATGCAGAGCCAAAAACCTGAAAAGTGGTCGAATGACCAAATAGAAATTTTGATTGATGCATATAAAGAAGAGCTCTGCTTATTTGCAACAAATCTAGCCACGTATCACAATAAGCACTTAAGAGCGGATGCTATGGAACGTGTGTATAAAGCTGTGTTGAGTTTAAGGCCATCAACTAGTATGAAAGAATGTTCGACAAAATTCCATAACCTACGAAACCAATTCAACATTGAAAATGCCAAAGTAAAAACTTCGTTCAAAAGTGGGACTGGTACTGATGACGTAAGTATTTTTAGCTAGTTTTGTATTTAGGGTATTTTAAGTAAGTTGTATGGGCTGCAAAAGCTCTGAAATATAAAAATATATGTAGGGAAAATGATATTTGACAACTTACCTTACCTAAATTCTATTTAAGGTAATATTGTTTCTTAGTAGCATTCTAGGAGGCAGTTATATCTAATACAAAAATAGGTTATAAAACTGCATTATGCCTTACAACATTAAGAAATTATATAGTAACATACTACCATATAATTTTTATACCCACTTAACAACCTTACAAATAAACTATTACTAATAGACGTGAGTAGTAAATAAATTTTGTTTAACATATTTTGGAGTTTTATCAAATAAACAATTTTTAAAATCATTAAAACAAATTTTATTTTCCACTACATTTTTTTAAACACCTTTTGCTTTTTAAATTTCTTTTTTGCTGTCTAAAAATTTATGTGAATATAATTTAGATCTAAAACCAATAAATTCGCTCATAATTTTACCATTCAACTCATCTTTAAATTTACCCAAAACTTTTTTGTTAACTAAAGGTATACCATAAATATTATCTTTTGGATAATCAGATGTATCAAAATGATCTATCATAATTTTTATATCGTGATAAAAATCATTAGTTTTTATTTCTATTATTAGTGAATCTGTATCAGTATATAATAATCTAACATTATTTCCATATTTTTTCTTTATAATATTATAATAAAAATCATACATTAATATTTTAGATAAATCTAAAACACACATTCCTATTTATATTGGTTGTTTGAAAGATATTTGTGTTCTTTTCATATGTACTGCAGCTAAATTTTCTGTAAAAATTGTCCTTCGATCAAAATTTGGTTTTGCAATTAATTTCTCTACTTTTGATGCATTAGAACATAATCTTATATCAACATGATTTTGAACATTCATCATAGTACGTCCATAAACACTATTATTCATTAATTTGAAATATTCTTTTTCAAACTCATTCTTAGCTTCTGATCTGAGATTAGTATTAAAATCAATATATACTTTTTAGCCAAGGAGATTGTTTAAACTTTAAATTCTAACACTCTATGAATTTTCTCTATATTTAAACCATTGACTGTACCCTGTCTTCAGTAACATAATAGGATATTTTATTAGGTATATTTTGCCTTTTTAATTAACTCCTATAATTGCCAAGCCAGATTAATCACCATAGTCCTGAAAACTTCCAAACCTATTATCATATCTTTAGTAGTAACAGTGGTCTATAGTATTTATAATTAATGATATTATACAAAGTTAAAACTGATATTAATTATATCTTCTTATTATTTCAGATTTACAAACCATCCTTATGGTATTATGAAAAACTTTTATTTCTGGATCCTTATGTGACACCCCGTAAAAGCCGGAATTCAATGGAAAACGAAGTAAAAAAACCAGATTCACCATGTGAGGTAGGTACATTGGGATTGAAATTAGTATTTTGATTGTCCCTTAAGTAAATACTTAAATGTCTGTTAATTTCAGAATACTGATATGATATACTCATTAGAAGAAAGTAGTCATCAAAGCCTGCAATTTGGAGATAATACAGAGCTTATTCAAGAAATATTTGTGTCAGACGACATGGAACCACAAACTCACGAAGATTTTGCAGCAAGTTCTTCCCAAAATTTTACATTTACCAGTCATATCAGTCCACCGCTATCAACATCATCAACATCTGCTTCATCAAGAAATTCAAATGATCGTCCTAAAAAAAAGTTTCGGTCTAATCCAATTGATGATGTATATGCAAGCGCCATTAATAATCTTGCAGAGTCAATGAGTCAACCAGTTACCATTAACAATACAGATAGTATTAGGAATACACAGACTCCATCATCAGACTCAATTGACACATTTGTTGTATTTATAGGATCATTACTTAGAACCATTAAAAATGAAGGTATAAAGCTGGAAGCAATGTACAGCATTACCCAAACTGCATTTGATGCAAAATCAAAAGACGGTAACAAAGATGTTTAATTACTCTGATTTTTATTATATTATTATTATTATTTGTATGAACTTTAAGACTGAAGAAAGAGTTAATTTATGATTTATTTTATTTTATTCTATTATTAATTATTTTTATTATTTTTATTTTGTTAACTTCATAAGACTGAAGAAAGGGTTTATTTTTATTTTGTTAACTTCATAAGACTGAAGAAAGGGTTAATTTATTATTTCTGTTATTTTATTAAAGACATTTAGTAGAATATTTAACTATGGTATTAAGTTGTTTCATTTGCATACTCTGATTTTTATAACTATATTATTATTATTATTTGTTATTTTTTTTTTTTTTGTGCGTGTGTTAACTTCAATAAGACAGAAGAAAGAATTTGTTTATGATTTGTATGATTTTATTAAAGATTTAAAATTGTAATTATTATTTTATTATTATCTAAATTGAGATTATAAAACAGGTTCATAATCACATACACAAATTAACATTTATTATTATATGATATAGTTAAAAAAAACTTAATGCCGCTACTGATTGCCCATTTCTATAGCACCATATTGAAAGGGTACAACGCCTGCAGTATTAAAATACTCGCAAAATTTATCACGGATCTCTAAGGCGTTATTACTGCTGCGATTACCAGTCTGTTGCTCCAAACCATACTGATGTTCAGATAATTGTTCTTCATGACTGTTTGCATTAGAATTGTTTGAAATTCTATAGTTGTTAGGTACATACCATTGATGTGAGTTTTTCTTGGTGATGAGGTAATTATGTAAAAGCACACAAGCATATGTAATTGTTTCAACCATACCAACGTCAAGGGGTATGGTAGAAAGTAAAACTCTCCATCTATTAGCAAGAATACCAAATGCATTTTCAACAGTTCTTCTGGCACGGCTCAATCTGTAGTTGAAAATTCTTTTATCAAGTGTCAAGCCTCGACTTGGATAAGGTTTCAGTAAATTTGGCTTTAGGGCAAATGCATCATCCCCAACAATCACATATGGCAATTTGTAATTGAATCCAGGTACTTCACATGGGGAAGGTAAAGGTAAAGCATTGGAATATATTTTGTTACCCAATGGACTTTCACGGAAGACATCTGAATCGTGCATGCGACCATTCATTCCAATATCAACAAACAAGAATCTGTATTCAGCATCAACCAAGGCTAGCAAAACAATGCTATCTTTCCCTTTATAATTTCTAAATTTGGATCCCTCTTTCCTAGCTGGACGAAAATTTATGTGTTTTCCATCCAACGAGCCAATACAATGAGGAAAATTCCACAACGTCTCAAATTTATGACCAACTAGAGCCCATTCTTCTGCTGTTGATGGAAAAGTGATTACTCTAGGTTCTAGAATTTGAATAATTGCTGCTAAAGTAGAGCGAACAATGCTTGAAATAGTATTGGGAGCAATACGTGTGGAGTAGCTCAGATCTTTGAAGGTATTACCGGTTGCCAAGTATCGAAGAGTAACAGAAAGTCTATCCTTTGGTTATATTGCTTTACGCATAACGGTATCTTTTTTTTGAATGAGAGGCGTCACAAGTATCAGTAATTCATTCCAATAATCTTCCTGCATTCGGGTAAAATTTGTGAAACATGCAGGATTTTCTGGGCTAAAATGAACCAATATTACAATAAATTTAAATAGGTGGGTAAGTGGGTACCGCAATGTTGTATTGTAGGTGTTGTAAGAGTCAGGATAATGGATCTGTTAAATTTGAACTCAATAATATAAATAAATCCTCTACTGAGAAAGTATATTTAAAATAGGTACCTACATAGAAAAGAATTTTAATTTTAAAAAATACTTAGGTATGTTATGAACCTTGCCAAGAATGACGTTTTAAAAATCTTCAATTCATTATTTTTTTGGATAAAAAATATTGATTACATTATATGCATCATTACCAGAGGCGCAACTAGCTAAATTGTTTTGGGGGGACTGAAATCCCACTAATTTTAAATATACGATGTTTCACCCTATATATTATTACTGTTTTTACGTTAAACTCGTAAACAAGATTTAAGATTTCATAAGCATAAACACTATACAACATTGGGTATTATTTATGTTAGCTTATTGTTAACCATATAAATTGTAAAGTAAAAATGTTAAGTTGACGTACCCAAGTTCTTCAAAAAGCATATTCAGAACACTTTGATGCTTGTCACGACGCAATAGCCACGAACGACTCCATAATCTAACTGGCTTCTTACTATTATTTCTTCGTCTTAATCCTTCAATTAACAAAAAAACACTAATTGCATTTTTTCGGCGACGGACGACCTCGGCAACAAGTGCATCCATAATTTCAATTATATTAAAATATATTATAACAACGAAATACGAAAAAGCTTTTTACCACAATTCGCCACCGAAATTTCAAAGTTTTTAGTCTAGCAGCTTTAATCTTTATTGTTTGGCGCGAACTGTGATAAAACTGAACACTGATTACTGATGAGTTATCAGAGTTAAGTGATAAAATCTAAAAATCCAGTCTGGCAACAATCAACGTGTGACGCCAACACCGCAAGGCGACCATCAGACCATCCAACCCAGCAGCTAAACCTGAGACCAAGCAGGAAATCGAGCAAGTCAATCACGCAGCAAAACAAGCGTCGTGTGCGGTGGGCTTTAGTCTTACACACAACAGACTATAAATTATTATAATATGTGAAATGGCTTTAGTCTCCAGGACACTCACCACCCATTGAACCCGAGGCACGTGCCTCGGTGCCTCAAATAAAGTCCTTAGTCATGCCACTGAATTAAATGTTATTATATTATAATTATTAATTGAGAATCAATGATACAGTGTAAACCGATATCGGCATCTGTGTTGTACACATAGATATATCTAATATTATATATCTATGGTTGTACACTGTATTAGTGTTATTTTGACCTGTCATGCATCAAAAAGTTAAAGAAGACAAAATCATTACTTGCTGTTTTGCTATAGTTTATTATTTATATTGGCGTTATTACGATGGTCGTTTTTTGTTAAATTTTTATTTTGTACAAAGTGTTATTAATTACTAATGCGACAAAAATAAAATCGCGATAACAACGATGCGTTTTAAAGCCGGGATCACACGCATCTCGTGGAGTGAGGAGTGATATAGCGCTGTACAATTGACGCGCCGTCTGATTCGTGTTGCGCGGGGTGGTGCGCCAAAGTTTTTGTGCGCGGCGGGTCTCTACCCGACAATTATTGTCGGTCTCCGTATCCCGCGCCAAAGGAAAATTGGTGCGGCGCGTCGGTATAGACGCTCCACACTCAGGGCTTAAACTGGGAAAAAGTTACAGAGGGGACTAATGTCTCCATATATTCTTGAGCGTTCCATACATAATTTTATGTATGAAATCGTAATTTGATAAAGAGGACGCTTTTCAACCGCCGTCCGCGGTAGGGGACTGAGTACCCCTGCGCCCTCTCACTCTAACCCTTGGCCACACTCCACGCGACGTGTAATACCGGCTTAAATATTAATTATAGATGTCAAAAGTGAATTGTAAGGTTGTGCCTTTTAGCATTGTGCCCAGGGCTGTCCCAATGTCGCAAGTGGCATATTGTGTAAAAACCTAGTTGATAGACGCTCGATTGTATGAACCGATAAGAACGTATTATTATTGTTATAGCGTGATGTACTGATGTCGCCGTTAATGTAAACAATACTATATTACTATATGGTGTGAACACAATATTTCAACTTATAGATTTATACGAGATGCACATACAAATATACAATAATCAATTTTTACATTTTTCACGACAAAACAAAATATCATAACTCATAAACGTTAAGGCGTGCACAGACATGCACAGTTTATGCAATACTTAATAATAGAAAATTCCCTACAAAA